CTCATTCCCTCGGCCAGCGTGGACTGTAGGATTCAAAGCAGGAAGTCTTAGTTGATTTTGTGTGCTTCCTTCTCAACATCTGCACTTGAATCTTTTTGTTTATGGACGAAATGTGGCAGGGGGAGCGGGAGGGGCAGTAGAACCTTCGGAAGCTAAATACTTCCCTGAGGGTGTGTGTCTCTCTCAGGATATGGTTAGTCTTCACGGGCATGAATGTGAGTTGAGGGATGGAGGATGTTCTAGTTGTATAGTTGCTGGAATACTTTCCAAATGTGTACTTAACTGATTTTCTCAATTGTTCGCTTGGCCTCTCTTCCTTAAAGTCATTCGTTCTGTCTACTTTTGCAGTGTCCCTCAGTGTGAAGACAGTATAGTAGCTGTCATTGGACTGGACATCGGGAGACCTCGTCCCGTTTTCTGTTCACCTGTCATTTAATTCGATCTTTGTTCTTTGCCAGCTGTGAAATGAATAGGACGAACAGACAGAAGGTAGAGCAGACAGAAGGGAGGGCGGTATGCCGAGAGGGAGGGAGAGGGAGAGAGAGCGTGAGCGTGAGCCGTCGAATGGAATGAAAACCAGGTCCTTGGTTTCTCAGTTCTTGATTATCTGTGGTTGAAGGTGGTTCCAGACAGCAGAGGTAACTCAAGCCTTGACTCTTGCACTCCATTTTCTCTATTTGCCTCCTCATTTCTTCAGGTTAGATTCCAAATTCCTTGACGTAACACCAGTCCCCTTATCTTATTGATCTTCCCGTAAAGGGGGTGCTGAGTGCTGCTGTGGGAAAGTCACACCCGCACGAAGATGTCCACACGAGGCCAGGACCTCCACCCGCTTCCCAGCAGCCCTGTCTGCCCAGCAGGCCTTCTGCTTCGCTGGTCCGCTTTCTCTGCTCGTCTCTACGGTGGCTCTGATGAAGTTTCTATACTTCAAGGAGTCCGCACCCAACACTCCCCAGTGGCCTTGCCCCGCAAACCCTTAGCAGGTACCATGGATTTTCACTGCACAGAAATAACACAGTCATCAGCTGGAGCTCTTTCAACCTTAAAACCTACAAAGCCGTTTGCGTTTGCAGCCAGGTCGACAGCGAGATGCCTGTGTCCTCTCGCGTGGGCCCGGTCCTTTCACCAGCACTGACTCGCATTCCTGTTTCCCAGCCTGGTTTTCCCTCTGCCGACGGGAGCACAGCAGCGTGTCATGCAAACGCTTATCTCCCCTCTAAAACACTCAAAGGAGAAGAGTCTTCTCTTGGCCCTGTATTCTCTCCAGCTCTCATCTTCTCTTTCTCCTTCCCTTTAGCCAGATGTCGTAACAGGTGGACTGGACTCGCGTCTGCTTTCCCACCTCCTCTCAGCCATTCGTGCTCAGTTTCCACCCATCGTCATCCCGGCCCGTGGGGCAGCTCTCGCCAATGTCCTTTGTGGCTCGAGGCCAACGGACACTTTTTAGTCATTGTCTTACTCTCTATCCATCTAACGCAGGCGTCTCTCATGGGCCTTCAGAACACTCACATCCAGCTCCCTACTCGGTGTTTCCCCTTGTCTAGGTGACCCGCAGATGCGTCAGAACTGGCGTGTCCAAAATCGCGGTCATCTCCCTGTGCTGCCCTCCACCCCCGCCTCCAGTCCCGCCTCACCTCCTCTGTTCTCTGTTTCAGCCGGTGGGACTAGTCACCATTTGGTTGTTTTTTTTTTTTTTAAACTAGGAAACTAAGTATTATTTTTAATCCTTCTATCTTATGGAATAAGTAAAAGAAGATTGGACAATGAAACAGAAAGTCAGCAGGGTAAAAGTAGGCTTTTCAGGAATGGCTTCTGTTCCCCATCACCCTCCATCAGTTACCAAGTTACTCTTAACTGTCTGCTCCCTACACCTCAGGTCCACTCATTTCTCTCCATTCCAGCTGGCCCTCCTTCTTAGTTTAGCCACTGTCATCTCTCCAGGATTTCTTCCACATCCTAACTGTTTCCTCCACCTTTGGTCCTGCCCCTTCTAACCTAATCTCCACACAGTGGTCAGAGTGATCTTTCTAAAAATCAAATCAGCTCGCGTATCTCCTGATCTGAATTCTTCAGTGGCTTGCCGCCGTCCTTAAATCGCAATGGCTTTTTATCGCGGCTTCAGGCCTGGGCGCTCTGCTTCCTGTCAGCTCATCTCTAGCCTCTTCTTCCCCCAGTGTTCATGTCTGTCCTCTGGGCTTTCATACATGCTGTGTCATCTGCCCTGTGTGCTTAGCTAGTTCCTCTGCATTTCTCAGGTCTTGGATTTAGGTGGCACTTCCCCTAGAAAACGTTTCTTGACCTCACAAATCTGGATTAGATGACTTTTCTCCGTACTCCCAAAGCAGCATGCATGTCCCCTGTCACATGGAATGGCGGTCGTCTGTAGCCACTGCTGGACTGCCAGCGGCTCTGAGGGCAGTGCGCGTGGCCGTCTTGTGGTGTGGAGCATGTGCTCCTCGACTCTGCAGACTTCCTCCTCCAACTGTGGCTTTAGGTTAGGATGAGAAGGACAGCTCCGAAAAGGAGGCTTGGTGAGGGAAGGCTAGCGCCAGCGAAAGAGGCTGCTTCAAAGTTTAATGCTAGCAAAGTCACGGCCAGCAGTGAGAGTGACCACATACCCTCGTTTCTTTCAGAGTGTGGCTTTGTGGTGCAGATGTTGGCCTCAAACACAGGATACCCTGATCCATTTTACCTTCTCTCCTTTGATCCTATCTCCTGCAGGTTGGATTGCTAAAGAACAATGAGATGTCAAAAATTTAGAGAGAGTAGAAAAGCAAGGGTAATCTATAATCTGGAGATAGTGAGTAAGCCTTTGAGCATCCCAAGCCACCTACTCAGTAAAACTAAATTGTTTTAGCATTCTGGAATGTCTTAGATAATCTCTGGAATGCCATAGATACTGTATTATAATCTCACCCTCATTCAAATGTGATATCTTGACATTTTTGACATAGTAAAGAGATACAGGTTTAAATTTGCATTCTTTTAACAGGAGGCTTGTAAACTATATTTCCATGACCTTTGACTAGGCGAAATGTTGCAGTGCACCCTGGGTAGAGGATCCAGGCTTGTATAATGCCCTTCGGCAACTGTACCAGGTAGTTCCTGGTTCAGGTAGGCCCTCGTGCATGAGTATATCCAAGATCCTGGTTCAGGAATTCTCTTCTAAACCCTATTGTAATACTTTACATTTGTCTAGAGTTTTACACTTAATCAAATATATGCAAGGTCTTTGTCTGACCTTCTAACAACTCTTTGAAGTAGGTGGCTCGGGATTATCATCCTCATTTTTACAGAGGGGAAAATGAGGGAGCAGAAATCACACAGCTAGTAATCGAAGGAGCCAGGACCTGAGCTCGGTCTCGGCATGCCGCAAGCTTTGTGTTCCAGACTGTACATGTGTGTGTTTCGTGTATATAGGAGACAGTTAATCAAGCTTCTCTTTTAAGATCTGGACTCTTTGACGGAATAGAGTCAAATATGGCTCATCATATCAGTGTTACGGTGGATAAGACTGGAGGGAAGGACAGAGCCTGGACGTCTAGCTTCCATGGGCTTTCTGCTCTTCCTCTCTCCTCCCCCACCACATCCTCGCTGCAGTTGAACCCCCGCCCCCCACGCTCGTAGTCCCAGATCCACAGCAGGACGACAGCACGCCTCCCGCACAGAGGCAGAGGTGCTGTCTTGCACTGAGTGCAGGGGAGGCGAAGGACTCAGGCAGCTAGAGAGAGAGCTGAGGAGATGAGATCCCAGGCGTCACGTGAGCTCACTCCTCCTCCCCCCGCCGGGTTGAGGGGTACGAGGAAGTGAGGGAATGGCAGAAGTAAGTCTCTCCCTAACGCTTCCAAGAGTGCAGGATTTCCTCTTCTGTGGGCTTTGGAGGAGAGGGTTAGGATGGTTCTTCCTGTGGAGTCAATTCACTTGGGGAGAAAAGAGTGTAAGCTCCTTGATGCAAGGACACTTATGTCTAACATATCCTGTCCCCCAAAGTCTATATATAGCAGAGGACTGAGCCAATACTTGTTGACCAAATGGTGATCTTCACTGCAGCATAGAGGTAGCAAAGATATGGTCAGAGATAGAAAGACTCAATTTATGAACGAGCGGTGATGAAAAACAGGTGCACGTTATCTCTTACCCACCTGAAGCCACACTGGCCGGCAGCCAAGCTGCCCACTTCCAGACGGTGCTCTGGCAGCTGCAGGGAGCTGCCTGACCCATGGACTCTTCTTCCAGAGGTTCCGCAGTCCCCTGCCTCCTGTCTTTGGCTGCCCTTCCCCGACCAGAGTTCGCCTCTCACATATTCTCTTTTGAAGATGTTCAAACACAATGTCTCTAAACGGCCTTTCTCCTTTTTTCTCTTCTGTGTCTTTGTTCGGGGCTTTGTTCGGAATTTTTTTCCTGCTCTGGTCTCTGCCCCATATCTCAATCACTGTCCTTTCTCAAATTTATCTTTCTTAACCTGGTAGATAAGTTGCATATTAGTGCCAATAATATTCTTCCTGCATCAAGAAGTAATATTACAGTTAATAAAGGGTGAGCTTTTTAAAATTCAGAAGTGCCCAGAAGACCCATTTAGAAAGTCAACAAACATTCTTTGTTATCTTTTAATTAATTTGCTGAAGCCCCAGCATTAGGAATAAATGCGCTTTTTAATTTGATTTTATTTTCGTTTAATAGCATACGTCCAGTACTAATATATGACACTTTTTCATGGCAGGCAAAATTTCAGCGATGTGCATCTTAAACAGGCTTTTATGAGCTGACTGTGAACTGCATATAACTTGCCGTTTCTATGGGGAAATGTGCACTGTTTCCAGGTTTAGGAGAGCCTGTTGGATGTGGCCGGCGTGTTGTGTGTTCTGGAACTTTCTTAGTCTGGTGTGCACAGGGTGGTCTGTATCTTCTTTCTTTACCAAGTTCCAAAGCAAACTGGGGATAGAGAGGATTTCTTTGCTTCGTACACATGACTTGAGAACTTCGATATGTCTCTCCCCCAGGAAAAGCCTTCGACATCACATACGTGCGCCTCAAGTTCCACACCAGCCGGCCAGAGAGCTTCGCCATTTACAAGCGCACGCGGGAAGATGGGCGCTGGGCCCCTTACCAGTACTACAGCGGCTCCTGCGAGAACACCTACTCGAAGGCAAACCGCGGCTTCATCAGGACAGGAGAGGACGAGCAGCAGGCCTTGTGCACAGATGAATTCAGTGACATTTCCCCTCTCACCGGGGGCAACGTGGCCTTTTCGACCCTAGAAGGAAGACCCAGCGCCTACAACTTCGACAACAGCCCTGTGCTGCAGGTAGGCCGCCCGCCAGAGGCTGGCTTTGGAGCCAGCGGGGTTTTCTCCATCCAGGATGCGGGAAGTGGTGTGATGGGGGCCGCAGTCCCGCTTCTGCCGTGAGGGCTCGAGGGAGTAGAATCTGCTCCAGCAAGACGGACAGTGTACTTTATTCTGCTCCCCTGCGTCCTCTGAGTGGGGGAAGGAAAGCAGTTTGCTCCCGTTGCCCAGTCGATGTTTGTTCTTAGGTTCTCAGGCACTTGCAGATGTATCCTGGGATATGTAAACTGTACAGATTCTTTTAAAAGTCGGACAATTTTAACTTCAGTGTGTGTACTTGAGATGGAAACATTTTGCTTCTGTCTTTTGGAAGAGAGGATTTGAACTAATCTTGTCTCCTTTCTTACCTCTTCTTTGATTGGACAAAACAAAAAATATTTTATTACCAAGATGGAACAATCAAAGTAAGATAGTTAAGAATGCCACCTTCCTTCATTATGATGGGGATTTTGGTTGGGTTTATCTGGCACCATTGCCAATCAGTATGAAAACTCCTCATCACCTAAAAGCACTGGTGTTTGTGACAGGATAGAAATTTAGGTACACCTGGTATAGCGCTTAAGCATTGTGATAGAAACGTCTTCCTATTTAACAATAGAAGGAATTAAAGATTTCCTTTTTCTCGTGAATTCCGCGTGCGTATTTCTTACACACCATAATAGGGAATCTTTCTGTATTGCTTAGATTTCTGTGAATTTTTCTTACGTTGTGTCTGTTTGATGATGCAGAGACTGGTGAGTCTCATGCCATGCTTGGCCCATTAACACAGAATTAGGGATGATTCTGCCCTGTGGCCAACGCTAACATCTAAATGAGGGCAGCCTGTATTAATTGAGACAAGAAATGCTGGATGTGGGTTTGCAAAGGCTACGTACATTTTATGAAACACTATTATGGCTTCTCAGTAGGGAATCCCATCCCTTTCGGAGGGTCTTTGATGCTTTCGTGTCTTCTCGTTCTTTCTCTCTGCAATTGATGATGTTTGAGACTCTTTCTCTAATTTGGTGTAAGGTTTTGGACAGTGGCAATAGCGGAGAATATATTCCTCTGTGAGGCTAGTTCTTCCCTTTCACTGTATCTCTGTCGGTCGCTGGGAATTTATAAATCTTGATCTTGGTAAACTCTGAGGTTACAGCAAGCAAGAAATGGGTTTGCAAAAGCCTTTCAGAAAGTGGTTCTTGCATTGGCAGTAAGAGGTGTTCCCAACGAACAGCAGGAAGAATGGCTGACGTCGAGAGATGAAAAAGCGAGAGGCTGAATGCCTAGGAGAGAAGCGATCTACAAATACCCTTTAAGTGGACCAGCCAGAAAACACTTGCTCACTTTGTTTCTCCCCACACAAATTACTGCGTTTTACTGTCCTGGAGAGGCAGCAGTATCGTCAGTAGGAAAAAGCAGTTACGTGAAGCGGCTGTGGGTTTTCTGGCACCTTCGCTAACTGTATGCCTCGTCAGCCTGTCTGGAAGCAGTTCCCCCAGCTATAGGAATTCTGATGTTTGCCACTGTTTATTCCACAGGAACTCGTGAGACTAAATGTGGTAAAAATGCTCTGGGCACATGCAGTAGATTTGGTTAGCTGGTGTTATTACGCAGAAATGTTAATCATGTGTCTCTGGATGTAAGAGCTCTGGCTCTGATATCCAGTTGCCAAGGGGGTTCACGGATTTGACTTTTAGCTGATCTGAAAATGAGGGCAGAAGCAGTTGGCCTCTCTCCTCATTGCTCCCTCTGCCTCTGTGGCGTGCCAGACAGGGAGAGGAAACTCTTCCCGGTTTTGTTGCATATGACTGTTACTAAGCACGTATTGGTTTAGAATAACGATTAGCGTTTATTGTAGCACTTTACTAGAATGTGCCACAACGTGACAAACATTGTGCTAAGCCCTTTAGATCTATTAGATACATTAACTCAGCTCTTATTATTCCCCATTTACAGATGGGGAATCAGAGGCCCAGGAAGGATGAAATAACTTGCCCTAAGTCACTGCTTTCAGGGGCAGAACTGGCATTCAAAACATAGACAGTCTTGCTCGAGAGTCTGCTCTTTTTAAGGCGCCCATTATGGAAAAAAAAAATTGGCTTAGATTCAGCCCTTGAGAAGCTTTGATTCAGAAGACCCGTGATAAAGGTGAAGGCTGTACAAGATATATTAAACATTAAACACAAAGCTATGTTTAGCTACTTACGTTGCAGACAACTGAAAGGTCCCTAACATCACGGCCATGCGTGGGAGTTGTTCTTGGACTTCCAGGTTTGGACGTGGTGAGGTCATCATCTTTTCTCCCTTCTAATTACACGTGGAGGCTTCATGGAGATTCGCTTCTCTGGGCTCCCTGTGCTGTGCTTTGTGCCAGGTGTCCGGCATGGTGTCCGCAGAGGTTCCTCGTCAGGGGAATGTCTCCCCGTCTCATGTGGTGTCTTCCAAAAACACAGACGCCCTTGCTCGTTACGTCTCTGTAGGTGATTCTGAGATGCGGTCCCAGGAGAGGGCTTACAGTGGAAATGGTACCTTCAGGTGGTTATATGTAATTTACCACTCCAAACTTAAAAGTTTTAGACAACCATGATGTTGTTATTTCTCATGGTTCTGTGTAACCCTGGGCTCACCCACGGGCAGGTGAGCTGGGAGCTGGGTCTCTCTCTCCCTGTGGTCTTAGACCCTCCAGGAGGCTAGGTTAGGCTTTTTCACGTGACGGTGGAAGTATTCCGATAGGGTAAGTACCAGCGCACAAATGCTTATCCATCCTCTGCTCGTGTCACGTTTGCTCATGTCCCCTCACCCAGCCCAGGATCCGCGTGGGAAGGGAATTCACAGGGTGTGGACGCTGGCAGACAGCATTCGTTGTCGTCATCATCGTAACAGTCTACCACAGACGTAAACAGCTGCCTAAGATTAGCTCAGTGAAAGGGCATTTGTTATAAGTGCTTAGGTTTCCTAAAGCCTAGGGGAAACCCATACAGCCTTCATTCCTATCCTCTGCCGTGATGGTGCACCTACCAAGCGACTCGTAGTGGTTTCTTCAAATCCGGTCATTTGCTCAGTGAATGTTATTTGAGCGCCTGCTCGAACCTAAGCACTAGGTAAACTGCAGTGAACAAGACGAACAATGCCTGCCTTCGTTGGGCTTACAATCCCGTGGTGATGGTGGCAAAAACGGACGATATGAATAAAATAGGGAAGGGAAATTGGGAGTTGGGGGGAGGGTAGCGATTAATTGGGGCGGCCAGGGAAGGCCTCACAGAGAAGCGAAATTGTGGGAAGGCTCAAGACAAGGACCGACACGGCTTGGTTCAGGCCAGTGTAATAATTTATTACTTACACTTGCGTGTCTCTCCCAGGTCTGTCAGTAGTGGACTGGGTTTTGGAAGGAGAGAGAGATGGTACAAAACAGGAGGAGGTAGTGATATTTAGCACAGGTGTGGTGATACCTGAGCTCTATGCTGGTGTCTCTGACTGGATTTGGGGTGTGGATACAGGGTGGAGAGAAGGGACATGTGTACTGAATGCCTAATGTATGTTAGGCGTTTAAAAGTATGTTTCATTTAAGACTCTCAGTAGCCTTGTGAAGAAACTAGCATTATTCCTGCTTTGGGGGACTCCGAGTGGTAAAGTAACAATTTAGATCAAAGAAAGGAAGAGTCAGGAAAGAGAAAAACATTAGGAAATTAAAGGAGCCATTGGGTACTGTAATAGATTTAATGCTGGAAGGACATGCGTTAAATGACGCATTAACTGTTGAGAAAATTTTGTCTCATTTATGTCTCTCCTCTTCAGCCCCATTACTCGACTTTTCTGTTTTGTTTTTGTTTTCTGACAGGAATGGGTAACTGCCACTGACATCAGAGTAACTCTCAATCGCCTGAACACTTTTGGGGACGAAGTGTTTAATGACCCCAAAGTTCTGAAGTCCTATTATTATGCAATCTCCGATTTCGCTGTGGGTGGTAGGTAAGTAAACTGTTAAAAACTTTAAAAGCGATTGGAGCTCTGGTTTAGAAACGAATGTAGCAACTTGTTTACAACTATATTAATAATGTTGTTAGACCTCATTATCCTAGAAACAAAGTAATTAGGTTTTCTTAACAATTAGTGAATTCTTGCTAAGCATTTAAGTGCAAAGCTGTATAGTAGGCATGATGAAACTACTGAGTGCAGTGTAAGGCTGACGTTCACCTGCTGGGAAGAACCTGACCTCTTAGGATCCTACAAATGAATAAGGCAGGCAGTGTGTGAATATGTGAAAAATTAAATACTAGTACAGTGTCATGTTTTACGTAAAAAGATGCCATTTGTCAGAGAACGCCACAGAACTGTCAGGCTAGAGAAGCAGATAGGCTCTAATCTGAGCCTTGGAGAAGGGGCAGAATTTCGATGAGTGGAGAGGATGTCTGGGTCCAGTGCAGGAGGGTGGGCTTGTGATGTGATGTAAACCTACATGATCCAAGGAAAACCTCTTACACGAATTTGTATGTTGCAAACCAGAGAGAAGTTTGGTAGCCAGTGACCTTAGACAGCAGAAAGAATCTTGGACTTCCCCCACCTTGTATGAGACCATGAGGTCTGACGAGCAGAAACATTATTTTTGTATACAGTGTGCCTGGTATGGGAAAGTTGACAGAAACGGTAACCAATGAGAAATCATGAACATCTTTGGAGTAGGGCTATGATATCAAAACAGTGGGTTAGAAGGGCTAGTTGTGAGCGAGGTGAAAATAGAGTGTGCTCTAGCGAATTTAGAATCCTGTTAATGGTGTTGTATGGTGTAGGTGTTAGGTGACACATACCTGGCATGAGGGCGGTGACAGCAGAGTGGAAAGGAACATTTAGATGTGTCTGATTATGAAGGTTGGACTATTGGGATTTAGTCAAAGAGGATTTTCAGGTCTAATGATCAGGAGAATGGTGGTACCATTGAAGTAAGTGGGGAAGATGAGATGATTTGGGGAGATGATGAGTTTAGTTGGAGACATGTAAAAATTTTAGGTCACGGAGGACATCTAAATTTGTGCAGCAGTCAAGGAGCTTGGGAAAAGCCTGAGAGCTGGAGATATAAATTTGTGACTCATCCTGGTTACTCTGGAGATCAGAGGTCCCCAACCCCTGGGCCGCAGACCAGTTCTGGCCCATGGCCTGTTAGGAACTGGATGGCACAGCAGGAGGTGAGCGGAGGGCGAGCCAGCCAAGCTTCATCTGTATCTGCAGCCGCTCTCCAGCGCCAGCAGCACCGCCTCAGATCATCAGGCATTAGATTCTCATAGGAACACTGGTCCCTGGTGTCATAGAGGTTGAGGACCGCTACTATAGATGTTTCAGAAGTGTTTGGGTGTCTTATTGAGTGGTAGCCGAAGCTATGGAACTGAACGCTATCTTTGAGGAAGCAGTGAGGGGCTTGTCAGTGCCCTGGAGTGCACGGTAGTGCTCACCCGGACTTCCGTGAGCCCTTAGTTCCTGCTGTACCTGCATCGAAGGTGTGCTCGGGGCATTCTGACCCCAAACAGCCTGAGCAGTGTCAGGGTACCAGAGATGCATGTGGTGGTGAAGGATCCAGTGTCTCTTGCTACCTTCGGATCAGAAGTCTTTGAAATCACTGTGGCCGATCATTGCTGACATAATTACTGACTTGTCATGTGCCCGTGCAGTCCTAGGCATTAAGTAAAGCAACTTCTTGATCCTCCCAAGAACTCTGTGAAATAGACGTTGTCATCATCCCTGTTTTACAGGTAAAGCATAGAAGTTAAATTACATCAGTAAGTCACAGGACAGGGTCTCAAACCCAGGCAACCTGGCTTCAGAGTCCCTGCTCTTTTTAACCAGTGCCCTTGGCTGCTTCTTGACACGTGTGGCTTCAGGAAGTGATCGTACAGATGTCCTCAGATGTTAGAAACTTTCTTCTCTTGTCTGGTTAATGCCCCATCCCCTGTTAAATAGAACTACTTTTTTTTTTTTTCCCTGATTTATTTTTTCCTCATACCACGCATTCAGACAGCTATTACTTAATCTGGCTCAGTTCCTCAGTTTACAGTTTTGAATGGTAAACTCAGGAACGTTCTGTGGTTGTTTTTAGTTCTCTGTGTACATCACGCGTCTGCATCCATTCCTGGGACTTGGTAGCTGTTTCGTATTTTCGAGCGTCTCTTCTCTTCCCAGGTGTAAATGTAATGGACACGCAAGCGAGTGTGTGAAGAACGAATTTGGCAAGCTGGTGTGTAACTGCAAGCATAATACCTATGGAGTAGACTGTGAAAAGTGTCTTCCTTTCTTCAATGACCGGCCGTGGAGGAGGGCAACTGCCGAGAGCGCCCGCGAGTGCCTGCGTGAGTGCCCCGGCGTCAGTCCGTTAAACTGTCTTAGGACATCCAGAGGTGGAAGAAGGAATGAGCGCCTTCCACTTATTCCTCCTTGACAGGAAAACGCTGGAAGGCAGTGTTTCTTCCACATTTTGGGACCGTAGAACGGTCACCTGCATGCACAGTTAGGAAAGCTGTAGACGAGGGCAGTGGGCTGTAAACATGGACTGTGCTGCTTGTGTTTCCTTCATGATCACTCATTCCAGAATGGGGGCAGCAGCTTCAAGGTCGGCACTTTGCTTAGATCCAAATACTGGGCCAATGTAGCCTACTCTAAGATAGGGTTTTTTCTAGTGTTTGTTGCCCTTTAAAATAACCCTCTTCCTACCAAAGGTCATTTACTCAAGCAGCCAAGGTCATTGATTCACATGTGTCAGGTACGATGAGTTCTAGGCTAAGACTGCCATTCAAAAGATTATTTATCAAAATTATTTTTCCTTTACCTCACAATGGGGAGGACTTCCTACTCCCACCATGCAGTAGTAGGTGGCTTTGGGAGGAAGAGTAGATATTAGTTTTCTTAGGAAAGGGTAAATTGAAAGAGATAACACATTGTTTATCTTTTCACAATGGCTTGGTTTATTCTGAACAGATAAAAGAATCTCAGGAGGAAGGAACTATGAAAGCATGTGGTCCTATGACTTGCCAAGGACTTAAAAATAAGAATTTTTTAAAGCAGCTATAATTTTTTATGTCTTTATAACTATTTCATAATCATACTCTCTTGGTAACTAAAAGAATAAGAAAGATGACATTCTGAACTTGCAGGAATTATTGGTGGAAACCTTGAGAAAGAATCGATACCTCAACTTATGACTGTTTCCATAAGCTGCCTAGAGCAAATTTTCTTATTCATTTTGTCTTTCTCTCAACAAATCCCAGATTTGCAGATAAATTTTATAGCCTCTCCCAGGATTCTTAAGCACTTGCTTGGGTTTCTTTTACTGAACTGTAGTATTCAGTGTCGGAAGCTACATGACAAAGGCTGGCGAAGGAAAGAATGAAATACTCCTAAGATGTGACATCTAAATAAAAGTACACATGTGTTTGGAAAATATTCTGTTTCGTGCCATGGTCCTATTTAGAGACTGTCCAAAAACATCATGAGAAAACCGAGTACAACGTATATTTGCCAGCTTCCCACTAGCACATGAACTGAATGCTGTAGCTACAGGACTTTGATGAGGAGCTCAGTCAATTTGCTTTCCTCCTTGGTCCCTTCAGCACTTCTGGAGGTTGTGACAATACTACAATATTGTCTTGATGCTGGAGCTGCTGAAGAGATAATTACAGCTGCCTTCTCTTACCAGCTGATGACGAAGCAGCCAAAGCATGTGCTTTAACTGCGGGTTAGAACAGTGTGGACTCGGGAACTATTCTAGCCTATAGTCTCCAAGCACCAGACTGTTGAGATGGGGCTGGCCGGGTTGACTGTGGGATAACCTAGGGAGGCCTGATGGAAGAGAAACAGCTAATGAAGGAGCCAGAGGGAGCTATAAAAGCTCCTTAACACAACTCTAATTTTCGGTGCCAGCGATTCGAGTTTCTAAAATGTTTTCAAGTATAGTACTATAAAAGAACTGATTGTAAATGAAGGAAGAAAAAAGGAATATATCTTTATATTCAAATATTATTTTAAAACAACTTCCTCATCTATCACAAGTCAAATAAAACTTTTTTATTTAGTGCTCAAGATACTTCCTATCCTATGGGCAGAATCAATAATTCTGAGAAAATCATCTTACTATGAATGTAATAAAGAATTTTGGAACTATAGACACTTGTTCTTAAAATATGGTCGTGCCCTGTAGGGAATATCGTTACTTGCTTAACGGATGACCCGGCTGGCATCGTGGCACCCCCAGTGGATGGACGTACCTAGTGGATCTCGATTTCCATCCACAGAGGCACTGATCTTAACTCATGTGTCTCAGATTACTCTCCTCTGGATATGCAAGTAATCTGGCACTTTGAAAGTATCTTAATGTATTTGAACCATATGAGGCCTGAAAAGTTCAGGTAAATTGAGGCTGGTATATAAATTGGCACTTTGTTCTTGGGGTTGGTATTAGGATGAAGGAATAAAATTCAGGAAAATCGTAGTTTGACTTGGCTTTTATTATATATGATCAATTACCTGGAGAGTCCTTTCTAACTAGAGAAATCCCTTATATTTGATGATGACGCTATTTTTGAGAAGGATGAACTTTTCTTAGCCGATAACCTGGCTCTGTAAACCCTTTATCGACATACTGATTTTTTTTTTTTTTTAATGAACAATGTATCCAGTGGTCATTCGTATCCCGCCACCACCTATCTGTCCCAGGGACGTGAGAAATTATGGTTTGGTTTTGAGTCTTGTAAAACGCTATTCGTAAAGGAACATGGATCCGACTTAACCCCTGTGTTTCGGCTGACAGCCTGTGACTGCAATGGCCGATCACAGGAGTGCTACTTCGACCCTGAACTATACCGTTCCACCGGCCACGGTGGCCACTGTACCAACTGCCAGGATAACACCGACGGCGCCAGCTGTGAGAGGTGCCGGGAGAATTTCTTCCGCCTTGGGAACAAGGAAGCCTGCTCTCCGTGCCACTGCAGTCCTGTTGGTAAGTGACAGGAAGCATCCGCTTCACCTCGGGGGCCGAAAGACAAAATAGGCATCCCTGAGCCCCCAGACAGTAAGGCCGCTTTCTAGGCATTCGCACATGCCAGGTGCAGATGCGTGCATCGTCGTAACATGTAAACGGCTCAGGATCTGCCTGTACCCCGCACGTCCGCTCGCTTTAACCAAGCTGAACTTCCAGATGATTTTCCTGCTGTGTATAAAACTGGGGTTGGCCTGAGTGACGATCGTGTAAATAATTAGCAGCAAGATCATAGAGACCATCTGAACTTCGATGGTAAAAGGTTAGCCGCGTCGTGAGTTCTTCCTTGTTGATGATTTTGTTTAGTCTGAAATCCTTAGCGGGCTGGGCTTTTTCATGTTGGTGTGTGTTCAGAAATATTCAATGTACTCTTAATCCATTCTACTCTTTCAAGAGTTTGACCTTTACTTTTGTTGTTCAAGCTGGTATATACTTAAGTTCTGGACACGAGTCTGAAGGAGCCTGTGCTTTCCCACCGACACGTGACTGATGATTGTCCAGTTGACCATCCGGTACAGAGTGACTTGTTAGTGCTGTTCGGCACTGATGAGTAGGGTGTTTGTCTGGACAGTTAAAATGTCGTGGCTCAAAAGGGTATGATCTTGAGAGAATTCTGATTTAGAATTTGATCTTTATCCTCTCTGGAATCGTGTAGAGTTTAGACGCTGGCTTTCCGGCAATGTTTTCAGTTACCAGTTTTCTTTCTTTGACATTAATTTTGCTTACATATCTGGTGGTTGACAGGCTCTTTAAATTTCAGGTTCTCTCAGCACGCAGTGCGATAGCTATGGCAGATGTAGCTGTAAGCCGGGAGTCATGGGCGACAAGTGTGACCATTGCCAGCCTGGATTCCATTCTCTCACTGAGGCAGGGTGCAGGTAAGATTTTTTTCAAAACCAAAAGAAGGGGGCAGAAGCTAAATGTAGTTGATTCATAATAACAGACCTTGCGGCTTATGCAGCAGTTACGAACATTTTTTCCAAAATAATTGTCAGCAAGATTCGAGACTTCTAGCTGTAATGATGATCCAGGATTGTTTTGTACAGAGATCAAGATATTAGATTAATATCTAAATGTAATGAGTATCCTTGACTGAAACCAAATCCAAGTAGAAAAAAAACTTTAGGATTCATTTTGTTCTATTACATATTTCTTCTTTTAAAAAGATCTATTAACATGTAAAACAAAAGGTTGACTTGAAGAGTGGAATTTCTTTTCTCCTTTCTCTTATCTCATTGTTTTGTTCCGTTTTCCATCCAACAGGCCATGCTCATGTAATCCTTCTGGCAGCATCGACGAATGTAATATTGAAACAGGAAGATGTGTTTGCAAAGACAATGTCGAAGGCTTCAACTGTGAGAGGTAGCGCATCCTTTCTGAAGCTGTATTGTGTTTTCTTTGTTATCAGATTTCCAGTCCAAAAAAAAAAAATGCCTGATTTTGTCTTAATCTTTTTCAGATGCAAACCTGGGTTTTTTAATCTGGAACCATCTAACCCTAGGGGCTGTACGCCCTGTTTCTGCTTTGGCCATTCTTCTGTCTGTACAAATGCCGTTGGCTACAGTGTTTATCCTATAACCTCTACCTTCCAGACTGGTAATTTAGACCTTTCTTTCTGTTCCCTAGAAATGTGAGACGACTCCTACAGTATTTTTTAAAAAAAAATATATCAATATCTCTTTGAGGATATTTCGATCGTGGCAGCACTCGATGTTTTTTAATGCACATGATTTTTCTTTTTCAGCTTTTTTTTTAGTTTAATGAAAATGTACATATGGTTTTAGAATATACTGTAGTGAGTATAAATGTTATAGAAAATAAAGCAAAATATAGCTTAAGGGATATAGCATATATAGGCACTGTTGTAAGGATCCGTTTATTCAAAAACTTGCATTGATGTCTTTCCATAAACTTTCTGTACATTTTCGTGGTACATAGAGGACCTGAATTCAGGGTGTTTATGATGCAGTGGCTCTCACATTTTCATCCTCTGTTGCAGATGAGGATGGGTGGCGTGCAGAACAAAGGGATGGCTCTGAAGCATCACTGGAGTGGTCCTCCGAGAGGCAGGATGTGGCCGTCATCTCAGACAGCTACTTTCCTAGATACTTCATTGCTCCTGGTAAGTGAGGCTGGAAAGCATTCTGGCCGAAGCGTGCTCCCCTGGAGTCTCATTTTCACGATCTTGCACCCTTGTGTCTGCCTTCCAGCGAAGTTCTTGGGCAAGCAGGTGTGGAGTTATGGTCAGAACCTCTCCTTCTCCTTTCGCGTGGACAGGCGAGACACTCGCCTCTCTGCAGAAGACCTGCTGCTTGAGGGCGCCGGCCTCAGAGTGTCCGTGCCCTTGATTGCTCAGGGCAATTCCTATCCGAGTGAGACCACTGTGAAGTACGTCTTCAGGTAAGACCATCTTCTCTGTAAAATCTGACACGGCCAGAATTATGAAAGTGGTTTCTTTATATAAGCTTATTGGGCCTCAAGGTGAATGTGGAAGAAAACTTCTTGTGTTTGAGAGGGACTTTGTGAGAGGGAGCCTTCCCTGTGCTTATCTATCCCCTTGTCAGTTACACTGTCAGAGCAGCAGGCTCATTGACTTGGTTAGATCGTCAGAGTATTGCATTGTCGGTGGCATAACCGAGTGAGAAATACTTTCTCAGCACCCAGAACTGTCCTTCCAGACTTGGCCCTTTCTTTCTCTCCAGGCTCCACGAAGCGACAGATTATCCTTGGAGACCTACGCTGACCCCTTTTGAATTTCAGAAGCTCCTTACCAATTTGACCTCTATCAAGATCCGTGGGACCTATAGCGAGAGAAGTAAGTTATGATATAATTTAGAATTGTTTAAAAATACGATTAGGTAGAAGGATTCATAATAATGCAGTTTATTTCCAAAGTCCTAATACTATAATACGGAGCCTAAGGAAGTGGTATAAACTACCTCGTTATACATGAATTATGTATAAAAATGATGTATTTTTTAAACGACTTTCAAGGACCTGGAGAAAATTTGCTAAAATTAGTAAACAGCATTGTTTTATAATGAGTAAGCCTATTGCAATTACATTACATATAAATAGATTCTTCTAAGAATTCTAAATGTAATTCTCTTGGCTTGCATTGCTCAGCCTTCATTTCTTTTTATTTATTGCTATGTAATTATCAAGGCTTTTAACCATTGGCTAAATTATGAATAATTATAAATTACTGAATGACCATTCGTTATAATTTTAGATAAACAAAGCAGTTTTAAGGATGCCTTTAAAATTTTTTTTTATAAACTTTTTTTTTTTTTTTTAATGAGGACCTTTTTCTGTAGCAAAGTAAAACTGTTTGGGGAAGGTGAGTGTGACCGGTGGTGTGGCCGTGGGTGTAGCATCAGCAGTTCGAGTGTGTTGATTTCTTTTAATTAACATACATTTTATTAGTTTCAGGTGTACAATGTCATGATTCAATATTTGTCTCTATTGAGAATTGAGCACCACAATCAGTCTAGTTAACATCTGTCACTATACATAGTTACAGAACTTATTTCTCGTGATGAGAAGTTTGAAGATTTACTCTCTTTCAGCAACTTTCCAACATGCAGCGCAGTATTATTAACTATGGTCGCCATGCTATATATATCACATCCCCGTGACTTATTTATTTTATACGTGGAAGTTTAGGCCTTTAGATTCCCTTCACCCATTTCACCCCTCCTCCCCCCAGCAACCTCCAATCTCTTCTCTATATCTATGAATTCATTGTTTTGTTTTGCATTTTTCTTACAGACCACATTAAGTTAGATCTATGGTATTTGTCTTTCTCAGTCTATTTCCCTTAGCATAATGCCCTCAAAGTTCTAAGATGTGTTGATTTTTGAGAAGCCTGCATGAATAGCTAGTTGAAAATGTCTTCTAAGTAGTAGTTAGAAATATGGATCTAGGGCTTAGAAAGAAGTTAGTACTGGAGATCTAGAATTAAAAGGTTGTCAACATATGGGCAGCGATTTTTAAACCTGCAAATAGGACAGAAAATATAGAAATAGAAAAGAAGATGTAGTTCTGGAAACCTAGCTATTTAAGGATCATGACCTGAGACTCTAGAGAGAAATAAAATTTTAAGGAGGAGAAACAACAAAGTTAGGAAGATAATACCATTGGATTTTGGACTGAGTGACTAAGGAGTCATTGGTGAGGTTTTGGTCTGTTTTTGTTTTTAAGAGGTATTGAAACCGAAGTTAGATTGTCATGCTTTGATAAGTAATTTGAAGATCAAGAAGTAAAATAAAGGTTATTCTTTTAAGAAGTTTGGCTGCAAGAGAAGAAAAAGAAGCGGACTGATTCGGGAGCAGGGACAAGATTGAAGGAAGAGTTCTTTCAGGGTGGGAAGACTTAAGGATGTTTAAAGTTGGAAGCACATTAACCCGTGGAGATGTATCTCAGGATCTAACTGTTGGAAAAAACAAAACAAAACAAAACAAAACCATAAACATATTAGAAGTTCACTAAGTTCAAGGCAGTACTAGAAGAGACATCCTTTAGCCTCAGGTTGTCAATTGCTACGAATTATATAAGCAACAAGTGGTATTTCGTAACATGGGGAAAAATACTTGAAACATAGTCTGCGAGAGACAGGAGTAGAATGGAAATTAAAAGGAGACATGAGGACATAATCAGGGCCTGCCTCTTCCACAGGATGTCCCTGCCGAGGCTGTCACAGGCACTGTTAGGTTAGATGGACCATCTGTCTAAGCCAGTATAAGGCTTTTTCTGTTCTTATTTTCTTCTGGAAATGGGAAAGCATTGTGATATGTGGCATAATGGCTTTGGAATAATTGCGTATTTGTCAAAGTAGCCCTGAGCGTCAGAACTTGTCATTTTCGCTGTCTTATACAGCGCGAAAAATGTAATCGAGTGGCGCCTGTTGACAGGTGCTTTCGCTGCTTCCTCGTCCTGCAGCAGCAGAACAAAAACATTGCTTAACGGCGACAGACCTAAACTCTTTCCGTTCCCCACATGCTTGCTCTGATCCCTAATTGTCCCGGGTTATTATTCAGTGCCTTTGATTTTTCATATTGGTGATTGGAAGAACTATAAAATCCACCAGTCTGTGTGTGTGATTAAAAATATAAGTGTGCTCTACCATCATTCCAGACACTTATCAGCACCAGGGACCGCATGATTGTTCTAAATGCTATTTTCTAGTTGTCCTCTCGAATAAATGAAATAAAGTAATGGTTGATCGTCTCTGGCATTTTGGGTCTGGTTACTCTAACGGTCTTGACGTTTCGTGAGCTTTTAGAAACCGGAAGCCAGCTCAGTGATTGTTTTCACACCACACGCAGGTGCCGGATATTTGGACGATGTCACCCTGGCAAGTGCCCGTCCTGGGCCTGGGGTCCCTGCAACGTGGGTGGAGGCCTGCACCTGTCCCGCGGGGTACGGAGGGCAGTTCTGCGAGACGTGCCTCTCGGGCTACAGAAGAGAGACTCCGAGTCTCGGGCCATACAGTCCGTGTGTGCCGTGCGCCTGCAACGGGCACAGCGAGACCTGTGACCCTGAGACAGGTGAGAAGATGACCTCCGGGGGCCGCTAGACCTAAATTCTCTCTAGCAGGTCGGGGGGAAATGCCCGTCGTCTTACTCGCTTGCGTCCTTGCCCGTGTTCTCATGCCTGCTCTCCAAATAGGTGTTTGTAACTGCAGAGACAACACAGCCGGCCCGCAGTGCGAGCGGTGCAGTGATGGGTACTATGGAGACTCATCCCTGGGCACCTCCTCCGACTGCCAACCCTGTCCATGTCCCGGGGGCTCAAGTTGTGCCGTCGTCCCCAAGACACAGGAGGTGGTGTGCACCAACTGTCCTACGGGCACGACCGGTGAGTCGGCTCTTCCAGACCCCTTCAGGGTTCCACCCTATAAAAACACCTCGGGAGGATGGGCTTTGGCTCAATGATGACGGTTTTCCTAGTAGGCAAAGGTTTATTATGGATTTATAAACTTCATGGCAGGTGCTAACGACACCTAACATTTTTATGGCCAGGTACTTTTCCGAGCACTTTAACGTGTCCTGCCTCCTTAATCCTCACGAGCCTGTGAGGTAGGTTCTGCTGCGATCCCCATGTTCTAACCAGGGAAACTGAGGCATGGAGATGTTAAGTTACATGAGCAAGGCTGCAGGCTAGCCACTGGTGGGGCTGGGCTCCGGGCTCCGGAGGTGATGGTGGCTGTGGTGTGCTCCCCCTCCCGTGACGAGAACCCAAACTTGATTTTTAGTTTGTGGGGCTATCCTGGGATTCTTGATGTAAAGTGGTAGTTTTTCAATTCTTAACATTCTTTAACAGTCCCTTCAGTGTATCAAAGCCCATCACGTTTAATTGGGAAAACATGGGTTTTTTTTAATACCTTTGGATAGGCCTGTATTCCCATCTGCGATTCTTTTTTTTTTTTTTCGATAAAAACATAAATCTAGCTCTTTCCTAGAACTGCCCAGGGCTGACTGGCCGAGGAGCCCGCAGCTCACCAGTGACTGTAGTTCCCATTTATCCGTTGGCTGCAGCCCCCACACGACGGAGAGGTTCTGTCCAGGCTTCTGATACCGCCTCCGACTCCGTTACAAGCTCTTTGTTCCCAAGATATTGCTACAGAGCATGAAAATAAGCAAAAAGCCGAAACACTGAGCTAATCATCTGTATCTCTTATGTTTCATCGAAACCTTCTTTAAGCGTTGGGGAACGTCCAAAGGCCCCTTCGTACTTCCAGTGCTTCACCGACCCCACGCTGAGCACAAGGTCATGGCAGCACACAGAGGTTCAATCATTTCCTTAAGGTAGTTGAGAAAATATGGAATCAAAATTAGTGCAGAATTTCTTTCTTTTTTTTTTCTTCTTTTTAAAAACAGTGACTCAGCAGTCTCACACAGGCTTCTCCAGCCTCACGCATCCAGTCGCTCACTCTGCTCCAGCCCCTCCTGGGCTTCTTGTCATCCCTCAGGTGTGACAGACTGCCATAGGCTGTTCTCTTTCTTTAGAGTGTTTAGTCCGCTTTCTCTTCCTACCCACGCCTCCCTTTTCTTGGCCAGCTTCTGCCTCTTCGGTGGGGCTGGGTTGAAACATCACTTTCCCAAGAAGGCTTTCCTCTCTGGACGCCCCCTGCCCTCCTACCCCAGGTCCCTAGGGCCCTTTGCTGTGTGGCGTCTAGTAAGTATCCCATTTGCTCTGAGACAGAAGGTGGACCGGCTGTAGCTACCAGAGTATTTTGTGGAGTGAGTGCTTTTCATGGGCTAACTTGTAAGTTCTGGTTTAGATTTTCTACCAGATTTTTTTAAATTAAGTTTTATTCAACACAGGTTTCAAGACACTTTAAATATGGACCGAGATTAGCTAAATTATCTGATGCAAAAGCAGAACTGAAATGCTGCCTTCATCCTAATCTGGAGAAAGATCTTGGGTGAGGGCCCGGTAACTGTTCATGGCAGAGAAGGGTCCTCCGCTCGCCGTCCTCTCTCAATACCCTGTTTCTCCCTCCGCCCCACCCCCGGCCTCTGTCCACCTCATCGGGGGTCTCCGTTTGCCGACCGCAGTGGTCAGTGTTCGGTCCTCAGCTCACCCAGTGTCAGCGACGCCGGACGCCATTGACTGCTCACTTCGTTCCCAACGTTTTCTCCGCTTGCCTTTTTTGACACTTCTCTCTCCTCGGTTTCTTCCTCCCTGTCTTCTCTTGGGTCTCCTTTGATCCCTTCTGATTCTTAACCTCGGGCTTTCATGTCAGCTTTAGGTGAGCAGACCTCATCTTTAGTTTTCCAAGCCTCTCTGTGCTGTGACTGTGAAATCTGTCTTCAGCCCGGCCTGGCTGCCTCCTGGCCGTGTCCACTCGGACGGTCCCCCCACCCGCCCATGAGATCTGCTTGCACTGCATCAAATGCCATTCGAGTCGAGTCACATACGGAAACCAGAGAGGCAGGAGGATGAGGGCAGAGTATTTATTCCAAGGCTTCCTCTCAGCTCCTGGCATGTGCCCTTCAAACAGCTCTTTCTAGAAAAGCTAGAAACTATTAGGTTCTGGCGATTGCTCCCTCCACCCATCACCTGAGGCCCAGGTTACGGAGCCCCCCTGTTCAGTTACTGCCCAGGTACCACACCGTCACTCTGTCCATACTTTCGTAGATGGTACATACCTTTATCAAACTCTCCTCAAGTCTTGTGGATTTCAATGAGCCAGTTATTTTCTGCTGTGATCTGGATTCCGATGGCTAAAGGAATCTGAAATTTAAGCAAATCCAAGCTACATCTTCGATTTTTCTCTTTCTCCAAGCCCAACCCTGTTCCTTCCCCAGCTGCTCATCTCAGTAAAAATACCACTGTGCACCTGGTTGCTCAAGCGAAAAGCCCAGGCACATCCTTGATTATTCTCTTCCCCTTCCCAGAAGCAACCAACCAGCAAGCGTCATCGATCGTATCTCAGATCTTTCCACTTTTCCCTCCTTCCGCTGCCACCGCCCTGGTCCACGCCACTGCCATCTCTGCCTGCATCGCTCTGCAAACCTACAGTCTGCTCTGCACGCAGCAGCCAAGATAATACTTTTGAAATGCAAATCAGATCTCATCACTTCTAAAGCATTCCAGGAGCATCTCGCTGCACTTTAATTTAAACCCAATTCCTTCTTGTGGTCTAGGCAGTTGGCTCTTACTGTTTCCACAAGCTTGTCTTGCTTTTCCGGAACATTCTTCCCTTGGATATTCTCATGGCTGGTTTCTTCTGTCTTTCCATTGTCATCCGAAGTGTCTCCTCTTTATAGAAGCTTTCTCTAACCACCCAATCTAAAGCAGCCCTCACCCCACCATTCTGTCATGTTGCTCTGTTCTGTTTAACTTTTTATGCCTATCCCTAACTGAAGTGATCTCATTTATTGATATGTCTGTGGATTGATCTCTCCCTACTGCAATGGCGACCTTGTCTACCTTGATCACCACATCATTCTGACAACCTAGGGCATGCCTGTAATAACAGACTCTCTGTAAGCATTTGTTGAGTGAATAAACAAACAAACCTCTGTTTTTATGGAAAGCTAGCTCAGGTTCTGTTGGCTACAGAAATATTAAGAACCCAACGTGAGCTAATAATGGTGGGCAAGTGGAATGGGGAGGATGAGGAGCGAGGGGTTTAGTACAGTGGAAAGGGCCCTGGGTTCTACCTCTGTCTCTCTGACTCTCGGCTGTTTGGTTGTGGACAAATTACTTAACCTCTCTGTTCCCTTGGCTGTAAGAGAAGTGAGTGGCAAATGATAATCTCCAAGTTCTCTTCTAAAATGCTCTGATTCTGTGCTGGATGGCGCTGCTCAAACAGAGATTCTCATGTGCCCTGATCTTTTAAGGGAATGTGCTACCCACCCTGTTGTATAGGAGATTTATGGTATCGAGTCATCTTTCATCTTTCTTGATATCATCAACAAAAACAAACATATGAATGTTAACCCCAAGCCTAACTCATTGATAAAGCACTTGTAGTGTATGATTTGGGGTAATCCTTAGAATAATTGAAGTGAAGTGGACAAACCAGGTGCTATCTTTCTAATAAGGAAATAGAGTTGTGCCCAAAGTCACTCCACTGGGTTGGCACGATGCCAGGACCGCAGCCCACGTCCTTGGCTCTCCTAGGCCACATCCACTGCACCATGTTGCCGTGCCTCTGACGGTTACACTAGACTTTTTGTAACCAGTGGCAGTTTGTAAAGCACACTCTTTGTAACCAGCAGCACCAGAAGTGTCTGAGGCCTTTCTTTCGTAACGTCAGATTGTCTCACGGCCCAGGTAAGAGATGCGAGCTCTGTGACGACGGCTACTTCGGAGACCCTCTGGGTAGAAACGGCCCTGTGAGGCTCTGTCGCCTGTGCCAGTGCAATGACAACATCGACCCCAACGCAGTCGGAAATTGCAATCGCTTGACGGGAGAATGCCTGAAATGCATCTATAACACTGCCGGCTTCTACTGTGACCGGTGCAAAAATGGATTTTTTGGAAATCCCCTGGCTCCCAATCCGGCAGACAAGTGCAAAGGTAACCAGCCCTCAGCTAGGCTCTGCCACAGTTTTGCTCATTTATTCTGAGAATTCATCGCGTGGTCGCTTTAAATATTTACAGTTGTCTGGTCTGACGCAGCACTGTTCAATAGCAGTGTATCCGAACCACTTATGTAATTTAAATTTTTCCAGTAGAGACATTAAAGAAACAGGGGAAGTTAATTTTCATATTTCATTTAACCGAACATATCTGACATGATCAATAATAAAGTAATCAATAATAAATGATCGAGATGTACGATTTTTCTCCCCCCACACCAAGTCTTCAAAATCCAGTGTGTAGTTATGTACAGCACATCTCAAGAACAGCCACGTTTCAGGTGCTCAGTAGCCACAGGTGGCTGGTGGCTGCCGTATTGGACAACATGAGGGAAGAGTCCATTTGCACTGTTTATGTTTTAGTATCTCTCTCAGGCGACTTCTATCTTTCGCTGTCCTTGTCTTCCTGCCTTAGCCTGTAATTGCAATCCCTACGGGACCATGCAGCAGCAGAGTAACTGTAACCCCGTGACTGGGCAGTGTGAATGTCTGCCTCACGTGACCGGCCGGGACTGTGGATCCTGTGACCCTGGGTTCTACAACCTGCAGGGTGGGCAAGGCTGTGAGAGGTAAGACATCAGGTCCCTTCGGTGGAAGTCATCTTTGCTTTTCTTATTGAAAGAGGTCAATTTTTGTGAGTTATAGCTGGCTTGACTTTGTTCAGGACTGATTTGAGTGGCTCATACAGGCAAGGCGCCCTCCGAGGCAATACCGGACAGTCGTAACTGAGCTAATAGGAGGGAAGAGTAGAAGGCAGTGGCCCCGGCTGTGTGAGTCACCTGACCAACATTAAAAAACAAAACAAAACAAAAAAACCCACAAATTACAAAGTCCTTTCTGAGATGCTTAGAGTCAGACCTTATATGGTGGCAATGGTGGCCGTTGGGGACTCCTGTTTTCAAAGCCGCTGGTCACTGGTGGCCTCTGTGGCACCAGGTCGGAGAGCTGCTGGTGGCGGTTTTACTAGCAGAACAACCGTGTTTGCGTGGGTTAGGTTAGAAAAGGGGTTCCGAACAGGACCCATGGAAACTACTGGAACCTGAGGGCCTTTATAGCCCTGAGCATTTTGTTTTCTAATACAGATTCCGTCAGACCTGTGCTGAAACGGGGAAAAGTTTGCTTAAAGTCTGTTTTTCTTAACCTGAGAAGTGTCATGTGTTCCTTTCAGGTGTGACTGCCATGCTTTGGGTTCCACCAATGGGCAGTGTGACATCCGCAGCGGCCAGTGTGAGTGCCAGCCTGGCATCACCGGTCAGCACTGTGAGCGCTGCGAGGTCAACCACTTCGGGTTTGGACCTGAAGGCTGCAAACGTAAGGGGTGTTGGTGGCATGAACTCTTTAGTCTCCCCGAAATCCAGTGAGACCCAAAAGTCCAGAAAGGACACTGGCAGCCTCATTCTACCACACAGCTCAGGGTCAGGGCTGCCCCTAAGTCAGCAGAGATGCTTTATTCGGTGAATATTATCGAATATTAGAGCTTGAGAGCTTCTCTCGTTTCTCCGCAACCACCTCATTTACGTCGTCTTTTATGGTGCTCCTGCTTCTCCCTTTTTCCAGTCTTTTCTTTTTCCAAAAAAAAATCTCCCTTTGATTATCGAACCTTTCTCCTGTGCCTAATAAAGCTTTTTATTGATCATATTCTTAGTGCAAAGAATGGAACAGCGAGGGATTCTGCTCATAATGTGCTTGTTGACTTACTGGCCGATTGCTCCCCACCCATGGGGCCGTCTTGGTGTGCTTGCACACAGACATCTGCTCCTCCTTGGCATAAACACTGGCCTGGAATTAGGCCCCAGAACAGTTTGGGCTTCTGCTTTCTGAATTCCTTCATTTCTCCCGTGGAATGCAGCATAAGTCATTGACTCAGTTTCAGAGAACAAAGCGAGAAAACAACTGTACAAGAATACAAAATAAGCATGAGTATTTGGGTTTTCTAGTTCCTGAGTGAGAGAAATATTTACACGGAGAGAGGAAGATAGAGATGAATTCTTAAAGTGCATGAAAGGGCACCGATTAGTTTAATAGATTAATTTCTATAATTATTAAGTAACATGAAATGCGCCCCCTCCAAAGGATGCACATTTGACTTTAAAATTTACTTTTGCTGTAAAAATTTCTGTCTTCTCTGCGAAAGACTTTTAACTATTTAAACTCTCATAAGTCAGCCCGTTTTTCAAAAAAAGAAAAAAACCCATCTACTTATAATGATGGTAGAGTCCGCTTATCGATACAGTCCGAGTGAAAAGAAAATTCATTCTTCCTTTTTTTCCTTATCGTGTTCTCTTTTCCCTTTATTCTGCAGCCTGTGACTGTCACCCTGAGGGGTCTGTTTCGCTCCAGTGCAAAGACGACGGTCGCTGTGAATGCAGAGAAGGCTTCGTGGGAAATCGCTGTGACCGATGTGAGGAGAACTATTTCTACAATCGGTCTTGGCCCGGCTGCCAAGAATGCCCTGCGTGTTACCGGCTGGTAAAGGATAAGGTAAGCTGGCAACAGCGCACTCATTCATTCATTCATTCATTCATTCAGCAGACATTAAAGGGCCACTTCCTGTGTACTAAGCTCTAGAGGGAAAAAATAGTGAACAAGATAAACACAGTTTCTGTTCTCAAAGATTCGATGTTCCTGTTGGGAGACAAATAATAAAAATTAAATAAATGCCGGGATAAGTGCCGGAAAGAATACGAGCCGATAGTAACTGGGAGTCGGGGGGACGACTCTACACAAAGCCTCCCCAAGGAAAGGTACTTAAGGTCAGATCTCTAGAACAAGAAGAGCAAGCAAGCGATGAGGAGTCTGTACCGGGCAGAGGGAGGTGTGGGTACAGAGACCTTGAAGCCGGAAGGTGTCTGGGGCCTGCTGGATGAGGACAGAGCAGTTTGTGATAAGACTAGAGAGGTCCGCAGAGAAAGCTTATGTTGCACTATATTGACCATAGTCAGGAATTTAGATTTTATTCCAAACCCAATGGAAACGCACTGAAGAGTTTTAAGCTGGGAAATCCAACTTGTTTTTTAAGAAGAACACTCTGATTTCTATGTGAAGAATGATGGTTAGAAGTGGAGCAAAAGGGGAAGCCTCGTTCAAATTGGGTAAATACGTGTGTTTGAGGGGCACGGCGTTAGAGGCGGCAGGGACTGGGAAAGGGAAGAATCACGGTGGATCTTGCGTTGTTTGCTTAACGGAGCTGCAGGCATTATTTATTGAGATGACTCAGAACAGATTTAAGAGGGAAAGATCAAGAGTATAATTTTGGATGTAGATATATCTATCAAGAAAGTGATCTAAAACGCAAGGGAGAGGTCGGAACTGATATTTATCATCACGTAGTGTTCAAAGTCAAAGAAATGGGCCCGAGAGTTTTTCTTTTGAAGCCAGAGAAAGAAAGAAAAACTACCCATGTGATTTATTCACAAGCACACGTGAGTAGAGTGTATAGACCCACATGGTACAGAGTGGCCTCTGATTGTTATTGCTGCGGGAAGTATAATCGAGTTTCGGGAACACTTGTATGTCCGGTCTTTCCCTTTTTTTCTTTCATTATGTTTAGGTTGCTGAACATCGAGTGAAACTCCAAGAATTAGAGAACCTCGTAGCAAACCTTGGAACTGGGGATGAGGTGGTGACAGATCAAGCCTTTGAGGATAGACTAAAGGAAGCAGAGAGAGAGGTTATGGACCTTCTTCGTGAGGCGCAGGATGTCAAAGGTACATGTGACCAAACAGTGGGTAATCTCTTTGAGGCAGACCAATCTCTAGAGCTGGCCCCCTATTTAAGGTGAATTAGTATGGTTTTATAAAACACTTGCTCAATTTTTTAAAACTATTTGTAGAATACGAACTATTTTGTTTTTTAAACAATTTGTAAAAATACAAGCACATGTCAACTTCCTGGTTTAAGACACAGTAAGCATAAAATAATTCTCCCAACACATCAAAAACTATTAGATGTTAACATTTTAAATGTTTCATAAATCTGTTCCATAACGAAGTGTTTTAAAATAGTTTTTAAAAAGCATTAAATATATATGTTTTGGGTGTATATTATTTTAAGTAGAAAATTTGAACTTTGATTTTCTATCATTCTGAGTGAGAATTTATCTTAGGTACTGTTTTATTTTCTTAGAAATATCTTTTCAGATTGGCTCGTAAGGAAAAATCGTGGTCTTCAAGTACTGACCAGCTACTGAATATATAGAACTTAGTATTTATGAAAGTAAAGATTAGAAATTAGTGCCTACTTATGAAATTTTCTGTTTAATTAGCAAACAAATGTGCTAATAATGTTATATAAAAGTACATATTTTATGCATTATATGTATATTTAATGTCATTTGCAGTTTGATAGATAAGTTCTCTGTACATTATGTGATGAGGCTGATGATAAGCAGAAAAGGGGTTGACTTAATGATTTAAAAAAACAATTTATTTTAAAATACTTTATTGACTTTAAAAGATAACTGGGTTTTTTAAAACTTTGAAAGTAAAAAAAAAGTTATTTAAAATAATTTACTTGCTTTTTAAATCACTTCAAAGTTTTGTTTTTATTTCTTACTCTCCGAATTAAGCTTTTTTCTAAATTTGGACAAGTTCTTTTCTACACTTATCGAATGCCTGTAGTATGCCAGGCTTTGTGCTAAACACAAATAACGAAAACACGAAGAAAACATTGCTCCTTCTATATCTGGCTGAGGTCCTTGTTATTTTGGGGCTTTCCATCACTGAGGCGCGGGCGTTCACAGGCACTCGTCGTGAGTGTGCATCACATCAGATCACTTGGGACCACAGTGACCGACTTCCCTGTCTGGTGTGTGAATCTATCTGGTGTTAGAGGCTTCTTCCTGGTGGTGTACAGGTCCACAGAAACTAAATACAGTGCTTACTTCTTGTAATGTCTCTAGTAGATAGAATTTTGATTTTTTAAAATCACTAAGGTAGAGAAGGAATTAGTGGGTGCATCTGTTTTGGGCCAGTTTGTTTAATTTTTATATGCAAGTTCAGAAATTGTTCTATGAGGTAAATTTTTAAAAATTGAAAAAAAAAAAGAGGTTGATAGCTTATGATAACTTTAGATGTTTGCTTTTTCTTTTTTTTTTTTTACTTTGAAACAATTTATTTCTGAACACTTCCTTTCCCTGAAACGTTTTTTTAGCATTTCATTTTATCATATGATCAGTTTCCAGTATACAGTACATTAGCTTGACATTCATATAGTTTCTGAAGTAATCCCCCTGATGACTCTATCTGCTCTCTAGCCCTGCACGTGGCCATTCTATGAAGGTGTTTGCTTTTTGTTTTGATTGTTACATTTTAAGTCTTAAACATATATTAAGAAGAATTTAAATGTTTCCTATTTTGTATAAACAGCAGTGGGTTTTTTTTAGGATATCCATTTTTTAGCAACAGTGTTTCACATGTTTTGTCATTGATGTATTCTCTTGTAACTACAAATTCACCTTTGTTCTGATATATACATTGAAGAATCGAATGTGGAGTTGTCATTCTTAAGTGCTGATCTGTCCACCTGAGAGATGGGGTTTGCACACATCTCTGGTTCCGGCACCACCAACACATACATATAGTCAAGGGGCAAGAAAGGGTGGCCAGCCAGTACCGCCCCTCCTCTAAGGCCTTCCTCTCGGTGCAGCCCAGCTACATCTAGCTCCTTTTGGCCACAGCGACTGCTTTCCTCTGCCAAGCAGGTGATTCTGTTGGACACAAGCTCTGATAAGAGCCATGGCCATCATACTTCCCTTGAGCAGCGTGATGGGCTGCTGCTTCTGACAGCTTTGGGAGCACATAGAGAGGCCGGGGCTATAATCCACACCACCACCACCACCACCACCACCACCCACACCCCGGCCTTAGACCTCATTCATGGGGTTCCTGGCTGACCTTTTCTACTTGAGGTTCAAACCAGCCAAGAATGAAAATAGCTTCATAATGATTTATCTTTTCAACTGTCCCTAAGTAGTAGTCATTTGTAGTTTCAACATGTGTTTATGCTACAGCTTTAAAAGGAGATTATATGATGCAATTAGGTCTTGCAGTTAGACACAAGGCATTTGAAGTGATTCTGCCAGTTAGGTTATCTGTTCTCTAACGATGCTGTTTCTCTGAAGAACTATCCAGAGAGATTGATATCTTTTACATTCTTGAAGCTCGGGCTTCCATAACTTAATTGGCTGCTTTTGCCTCGCAAATCTAAATGATTTCTTGTGATTTAAACTTGTTTTTATCTTTTGTATTTTTTTAAAAAATCTTTAGCTTGTCAAAGACTTGTTTAAGTAATCATCATGCAGGACCACTGGACATAGTTAGGCAAGAATTTTGCTGTACACCAGCTTTGCATGTGGATTTGGTGGTCCTGTTGACAAGTTGCTAACCTGTTATGCATCTTTGTTGATCTTAACTTTGACCTCTCATCTTTTTTACATTCCTTGGGAAATTTAGATGCCAACCGTGAGCATCATGCTGAAAATAAGAAGTAGTCAGTTTTGAATAGGACTTATTTAATGGTTCTCATTTGTTGATATAACCTCATGACATTTGAGAATTTTAATAATGACAGAATTATATGTGCATGGACTTATATTTATCTTTTGATTTATTAGGACTTGGGTATGAGATTTAAGTTGAATGGGCTGAATTAATAAAGAACAATTTGAAGAATTATTCAAAAGCAGAAATCAATTGGGAAGAAATTACATGAATGTACCAGGGAATCGGGGGTGGCAGTGAGAGTCTATTTAGTTTAAAATACAAAATGAATTTAATTTTCCATACTTGAATGTTGTTTTGAACCTAGTTTTTTTCCTAGTTTAGAAAAACGTCCAGCTCTCAGAGTTGGTAGTGCTTTGACAACATTGTATTTTTATGATGAACTCCATCATGTGCTGGAATACCAAAATCTTTCCTTCATCAGACATTTCTTGGGTGTCTTCTCTTTGCTAATCACTGTGGAGACATAGTGATGACTAAGAAAGAGGAGCTCATAGTGAAATGGGACAGACACATAGGCAGTGGAGGTACTGCCAGGTACGGTGATGGCTGACAGGCTCTGCTGATGGGCTTAGGGAAAATGCGGCAGAAAAATGTCATATTTGGAAGAGGAAAGATAAGCAGAGCCTCAGATTTCATGTGAGATGACATTCCCCCCGCTCCCCCGATAATATATGCACCTTCTTCTGCCATGCCATTGCAGATGTAGACCACAATTTGATGGATCGCCTCCAGAGAGTGAATAACACCTTATCCAGCCAAATTAGCCGCTTACAGAATATCCGGAACACAATCGAAGAGACTGACAACTTGGCTGAACAAGCACGTGCCCGGGTAGAAAGCACAGAGCAGTTGATTGAAATCGCATCCAGAGAACTTGAGAAGGCAAAGATCGCCGTCGCCAACGTGGTGAGTGATGGCGCAGCTCTGAGGCAGGGCCAGGGCTGTCCCTTGGTGGTGTGTAGCAAGTCCGTTATGTCAGTGGACTGCTCCTTCCGCTAAATTGACTCCTTGTGTCTTTTTGCCACTCAGCGTGAAGCAGGAAAGCCACCCTGCTCATAGTAGTCACGAAAGAGTTATCAGGAGCTAGATAAAAACCGAAGGCCACCTGGGTCCTTTCTCCAGCTTGGTTCCTTCTGTGGCACTAGGCTTCCTTTCTCCTTTACTGAAAATAGAAGTAATAAGCTACAATCAAGGCTGCTGATGTTAAAGATGTCTGAAATTAAGAAGGGGCATTCATTTTGCCGAATGACGCTAATAAAAATTTAGTTCTGACACTTCCTTTATTACAATTAAATAATTCAGCCCTTTAAGATTAGTGCTTTGTATATTTCCTCTGTAGTCAGTCGCTCAGCCAGAGTCTACAAGGGACCCGAACAACATGACTCTTTTGGCAGAAGAGGCCCGAAGGCTCGCTGAACGGTATGGTAACCTCCAGATGTCTGCTTAATGGTTGTTAGGGCTTTCCTTGTGGTGAGGACATGTCGTCCCGTGCCGTACCCCCAGACACTTTCCACATGACCTGCTTTTGCAGAGTTTGCTCTCTTGTCTGAAATGTTATCAGCTACATGTACTCTTTCTTTCCCTTTAGTTGGAAATTAGAATATTTACTTTGAATATTAGAATATGATGGTTTGAAGGGGAATTATATTTGTACATCTGAAAGAAAACCATAACATATTTCAAAACCTTGAAGTTAATGGGTAACTAAGAAGCTCAGTAGAATTTAATGATTATTTCAGAATATTTTAAAATTAATTTTTAACCAAAATGTTTATTTTTCACGTTTCAATAGAAAACATATACTAACCATAGTACATTTGAAAATCAGCCAAAGAAAACAGACCATTTTGTTCCTTCTTTTTTTTTTTTTTATTAAGTGTAAGGTAATTTCTTAAGAAGACTTTAAATTATTGAGGGCCTCAAGTTAAAAAAATTTTTTT